TGAACATTGCCATTACCTATGAATCGACAGTAAATATTTAGAGAAGCAGAGAAATGAATTGCACTACTGAGATTTGCTTTCTTGCTAATCAGAAAGCTGTGAGCTGTGATGAAAGGGAGCCAATTCTCCAAGCAGAATTTTTCCCTTTAAAAGGTCAGGCTTGCTAATCAAACAGCTTTCAGGGAAAAAGGACAAGCGTTAGCGGCCATTTCTCAAAGGGTGTATGTGTGGTGGCTGAATGACAAAACACATCAACGCGAGCTTACAGAGGCAGAACATTCGGTTGGGGAATGCTGGCAATGGGGACACAACAAGCCATAAAGCCTTGGGCTGCTCTTGTTTTTACAAATGTGACCTGGCACGGAGAGAAGAGTGACACTTCCTTGGGTGCTGCCAGATACCGTGCATGGCACTTATCAGTTTGTATATCTGTTTACTCGGTCCCCCTGCCCTGCGCCAGCAGCCACAAACTTCATTAATAGAATGGCATAGCAGCTGGCTCTCAGTGGGTGTCCACATATGAATTCCCGATCAGAATGCCATAACTGTAATCCTAAATTGTCCTTTTTTTGTCTATGGCTTCCATACTAGTATTCTGAGCCCAAAGTAAAACCAAGAAAACACTATAGGCTCAGTACACTAAAGTTTTTATACAAGTATAAAGATGTTTATTTTCAGCCATGTGACTAATATTCAAATTTATTGGACTCAAAATTAACTGTTGCTTTTTGGAAAAGACTATTTATTAAAAAGAGAGGTGTTAAGAAACCCATAGATTATGCAATAAAAGAAAATTGCTCAATTCCACCATCAATACAATCAATGTTGATGGGGGAAATCCCTCCAGCAGCACCATAGCGTTCTGCCGGCGGGGAGTCTTCCCCGCCGGCAGAACACAATGATCACAGCTGGTGGATTTAGGTACTGGCAGTAATCACATGAAAAACATCTGACAGGCTGGTTGTACTAAGATCGATCGTTAGATCAATTTAGTATAACCAGCCTTCCCATAGATGAATTAAATCTCAGCCAGTGCCTGCTGAACTGGCAGAGATTTGATTAATCTATGACTGGCTTTAGTTACATATAATTTCAAATTATGTGGAAGCTATACCGCCTCATCAAGGTGCCTCTGTATAGTGCTATCAATAACTGTAATCTAAGAGAGCTCCCATCCTGGGGAAATACACATCAATAAACCTCTGTACCTTAAAGGGGGAATTATTTGCCTCCAGGCTTACCTGCCTTTAATCTATTTATTAATTTATTGCAGTGTATGCCCTTGTCAGCAGGGCAGGAAGTGAGGGAACCCCAAATAGCAATACAAACCCAAGAGGATCACTAATCCTTCCCCACTGTATGCAAAAACTAGAAAACATGTTTTTGGCTTGACAAATCAGGTCACTTGACCCCCTTGACAACGTCTACTGAGACAAAACGTACGTTGGTGCTGATGTCACTTACGCCTGTCTGGAGCCGGCACCAACAGCATTTTATGACTTGCATGCTCGCTATCATCAATGTTTGTATGTGGGATTTTAATTTGTTTTAATAAATTATTTGTATGGTATCACACTATCTGAAGTATTATCCTTTTGATCGAGTATATAGCAGGTCAATAAAGGGGAGACAGAAAGGAGCAGAAGCTCCGGAGATTTGTGGCACTCTTTCGCATCTTGAATATACCAAGCAAGACATGGTCAACATCACACTCTGTTACACCACCTATAATTTGTGGTCTTATTATCCGGTAAGAGGCAGTGTGTTTTGTGGAGGTGGGCACAGGAGTCACTATATCATTTACTTGGAGGATTATTGCGGACATGGCTATATAGCATAATATGAATACTTTTTTTTTCTGATTTTTTCACTGTTTAGTGATTTGTGCACCCAAGTAATATTATTTGCTTAGAAGATATGAATTAGAAGTCATTCACTATTGGATTTTTTACTATTATTTTTTTATTGGATCATTATTACAAATAACGCAACAATAATTGAACAACAAAAATTATAAGTTGGCTGCAATATTCCACACTAATATTCAGCACTATGGTTAACATACTTTTTTTTTAATTCAAACTTTATTTATAGAACAGATTTGCTAACAAAAACCAAAAAGAAAAAAAAAAAAAATGACAAAAAAAAAAAAAAAAACAGCTTGCCTCGCAGGTCAGCAAAGCACCAAAAAAGGAAAATAGCAGAATACTACATAATAACATTTATTTATAATGCGCTAGTATGTTGAATTGATAGTGCATTTGTTTATTACAGACCATCCCAGTGGGCTCTATACATACCCGGCTTCAGCTATGAAACACTGAGAGGGTACAGAGCATCCATCCATTTTCAGATTTTTTAAAAAATTTTAGGAAGCATTACCTTGAACATATGTATACTTCTCAAACATAACATATCTATTAATTTCAAATGGCTAACATTCTAATACTAGATTGTTATCTGGTTGTTTTAGGCCAAATAAATGTGCTACTTACACCAGATGCACACATTTAAATGGTAACTCCACTTTTGTGGGGAAAAAATAGCAAACAAAAAACAATATAGCATATACAATAGTGACACAAGTCATATTGTAATTGAATTTATTTAAAATGTCTTTCCTTTTCAATCTGCAGTGCTGTAATATTCTGTAAAATGCAATATGGATACCTGGATGTGTTCTGTACACAGAATGTGTACAGAATGCCTCCCAGAAACATAATTTCCCGCTTGTGTGATTGGCTCACTGATTTTCCCAGAAGTCTGCACTAAGATACAACTCAGATTTCAGACATCGTTAGCCCCCCCTCTGAAGATGTGCCTTAGCACAAAAGGCCTTAGGAGGAGCTGACAGCTTGTGACGCCTTATCGCCGCCCAGACCACGAGGAGGTCTGGCGGCCATTTTACTTTAGGTCTGTATCACCTTTTTTATCTTGTATTCTCTGGCTTTTGCCAGTGTTGTTACTGACCTGCTTTATATTAGTCTACTGTAAAGTTTGAAATACTACACTATGGGTATTCTCCCGTCTTTTGCCCCATACTGAGGGGTTACCAGACCAGCATACACAGCCTTCACTGCATACTATATCCAGAGGAGGGAGCCTTCACCCAGATTGTTCACCCTGATCTTGAGGAGGTCCTCTGAGTCCAGCAGACCATGGCTTGATGACACCCCTTCTTGAGGGAAACGAAGCCTGCTGATCTTCTTAATACATACATGCGCATTTCCTATGCTCGGTCGGTGAGTGCGCATTTCTGTCATTTCTACTGGATCTTTCACAGCTGTGTTACTACCAGGTTGTCACTATATCAATTGAAATATTGCATGAACTTTTTTGAACGAACTGTTGGTTTGACATTTTAGCGCTGCACTTTATATTTATTATTTAGACGTGAGGCGGTTGTGATCTCCTCTAGTGCTTTAGCTGCTTATTTATATTTAAGGAGCGCTCGCTTTATTATATATATTTTATGTCAGATTTCAGGCATCACCTGCAACAAAAATGTCATATTTGGTGAGATACTCCCAATAGGAAATTACATCTAAAGGGATGCAGACCCTGCAGTTTTCCTTATTAGAGGCCTTGCAGGTGCAGCAGCTGATTGCTAATTAGGAAATCACTCGCATACAGATTCACTCTGCACATGGACACAGACTAACATGCAGCTTTTTCTTCAGAATAACAAGAGTTAGGAATTTGCAACAAAGTTTGTTCAAATCCTTGGAATGTACATCAATCACTTAGAGGGGAATGGTTTTCTCTCATCGAAAGTAGAGTTACTCTTTAACCGCTCCCCGTCCGCCTATAGCAGAAATACTGCTACAGGGCAGCACAGGTGCGCAAAATCACATATACACACACACACACACACACACACATATATATATATATATATATATATATATATATATATATAAAAAACGCAAAAAATCCTCTGGAGGGCAAGTGGTTAAGGAATTAAAGCATTAGGTGAGTAAATAGAAAACTGGTTTTCATATCCTAAATACATCAGTTCCAAAAGGTCAGCTTACCCCAATGCAGAACTTCTCGCAGGGTACACATGCTGTAATTTTCATTCATTCCACAGTTGACACTTTATGCAAGGATCTTAACGTAGCTTAAAATATATTTCTTTCTGAAAGAACTTTTCAAAGTGTTTAATATTTTCTTTCACCTGCCAAAACCTTGTGAATAGTTTCCATTGCAATCTTGAAAAAATTATAGTAACTAAAACAAAATGCTACATAGGGAGAACTTTAAAAAGAAAAAAAATCCAATTTAAACATGCTGCACATTGAGCCCAGGCACAAAGAGTTCAGAAAACAAAATTTCATGTATTGTCATGGTAACATTGGACTCAGGAATCATTTCTGAAAGTTCTGCCACTCCCATCTCTAGATAAAAAATGTGCAGCCATTTAGAAAGCAGAAAGTGATCATTTGCAAATACTTTCTAGTTTAAAAAGACTGCACTTTACCAAAATTCAGATTCTCTGGATGTTTATCATATGAGCAGGATATAAATACATTCTACTATATGTATAAAGTACAATTAGACCTCATTAGGTTTCCTCTGATTTATTTATATAAAGAGTATAGAGTTATATTATAAACATACCATTTTTATTTACAAGCATAATTATGTAAAGTAAATATAATCCCTAGAATGATCTTCCCTTATTTGTTCACTTATGGTCTGTTAATTATATAATTAACCACTTGTCCTCCAGAGGATTTTTTTTCCGACAAATGGGGCCTTCTTTCAGTGGTATTTGATCATCTGTGTGTTTTATATTTTTTGCACTATAAACAAAAAAAAAAATTATAATTTTTGAGAAAAAAAAAAACTATATTTTTGACTTTTTGCTATTAACTAGTTGCCGACCGCAGATAGCCGAATGACGGCTGCACTGCGGCCAGCCAGTTCTGGGTGGACGTCATATGACGGCCTCCCAGAACGTGCTCTCCTGGGGCGCGCACACCGGCGATCTCCGTGATCGCTGTGTCCTACGGACACAGCTGATCACATGATGTGGTAAAAGGCCGATCACAGCGGCCTTTTACCACGTGATCAGCGGTGTCCAATGACGTGCTGATCAGAGGGAAATGCAAGTGCCGGTTCTCGGCTGCACTTTCCTCACGCTGTCAGATCGTGAGGAAAGTACTGCCGAGAACCGGCAGTTGTCAGAGCGGGGATCGGCACCGATCATCAGGGCACTGATGATCAGTGCCCAGCAGTGCCACCCGCAAGTTCCATCCACCTGTGCCCAGCAGTGCGCCCACTAGCTCCGCCCACCTGTGCCCAGCAGATCACCCACCTGTGCCCAGCAGTGCACCCACCTGTGCCCAGCAGTGCACCCACCTGTGCCACTCTGCAGTGTCACACACCTGTGCCCAGAAGTGCCACCTACCTGTGCCCAGCAGTGCCACCCACCTGTGCCCACCCACCTGTGCCCACCAGTGCCACCCACCTGTGCCCACCAGTGCCACCCCACCTGTGCTGCCCACCAGTGCCATCCACCAGTGCAGCCCAGCAGTGCTGCCAGTCAGTGCCCAGGGGTTGTGCCAGTCAGTGCCGCCAGTCAGTGCCCAGCAGTGATGCCAGTCAGTGCCGTCTATCAGTACCCATCATCAGTGTCACCTATCTGTGCCGCCTATCAGTGCTGCATATTAGTACCGCCTATCCGTGACACGTCATTAGTGATGTCTATCAGTGCCGCATCCGTGCCACCTCGCCTATCTGTGCCACCTATCAGTGCCCATCAGTGCTGCCTCATCAACGCACATCAGTGAAGGAGAAAAAATACCTGTTTGAAAAATTTTATAATAGAAACAAAGAAAGTTTATTTTTTTTTCAAATTTTTTGCACTTTTTTTATTTATAGCGCAAAAAGTAAAGTGCCCAGCGGGGATTAAATACCACCAAAAGAAAGCTCTATTTGTGAGGAAAAAATGATCAAAATTTCATATGGGTACAATGTTGCATGACCGCGCAATTGTCAATAAAAGTGCGGCAGCGCTGAAAGCTGAAAATTGGCCTGGTAAATAAGGGGGCCTGGTAGGCAAGTGGTTAAACATGTCCAGTAAAAAAATGTTAAAAAACCTAATTTCGTCATAAATTTAGGCCAAAATGTATTCTGCTACATGTCTTTGCTTAAAAAAATCTCAATACGTGCAAATGAATTGGTCTATCTGAAAGTTATAGCGTCTACAAATGGCGGTGTATACAGTATACTGTTTTTTTGGGTCTTTTTAATACTAGAAACGGCAGCGATCAGCGACTTATAGCGGGACTACGGCGGGCATTCTGACACTGGGGAGGAACTAACGGTCACTGATATCCCCAGTGACACGAATACAGTGATCAGTGCTAATAAAATGCACTGACACTGTAGTAATGACACTGGGCAGAAAGGGGTTAACATCTCCGGCGATCAAAGGGTTAACTGTGTGCCATTTTACTCTGTGCTGTGTGTTTTTTACAGTGTAAGCACATTGCTTTGCAAAGCAGCATGCTGGAGCTTACAGGGGAGAGATCTGTATTGTTTACATACAGGCCTCTCCTATGTCAGTGATACTCGGCGATTCCCAGGTGCCTGCGGGGAATCGCCAGCCGGGACCCGGTGATCTATAGCTGAAACCGCCAATGGCGGCACGGGTAGGGCGTGCGTGCCCTCTACCCAGAAATGCGTAATCAGGTATATATACACATGATTTTGCGCAGCCCTGCCGCAGTGATTTTGTTATAAGGCAGTGGGCAAGAGGTTAAAAGCATTTTCTAAAACATGTTCGATAACTGCAAAAAATATCTGTTGACTCTGCAAGAAATCTAGTGAACTGATCTCTTCCTGTGCTCTCTGCTGCATTGTCATCAGTTAGTATTGTTCCCAGCTCTCTCTGTGAAGGACACATACCCCCTATGTTATACAGGTGAGTGGAAAGGGAGGAATTCTATATTCTTAGTACACTAAGGCTCCATGCACACTGGGCATTTTAATAACACTGGTAACGTTAGCTGTGTAAAGTCACGTTAAAAACATGAGTTTTCAGCATTTTGTATTAGTGTTTTTTCGCGTTTGCGGTTTTTTAGTAAAAAAAAGTCCAAAAACACTGATTTGCCGCAATTTAAAGCATTCTGCCACGTTTTTCAGCATTAGAGCATTTTTACAGCTAAAACACTCCTCTAGAAACCCACTAGTCCTGGGGTTTTTCCAGCCAAAAAACATCCCTGCCAAAAAAACGTTGATTACAGTGCATGTGTGCATGAACACATAGGATAATATGCTGGGGGGTTTACTGGCTGTAGAAAACAACATCAAAAGCAAAAAAGTAGGTGTATCGTAACACAGAGACAGAATAGCAACAAAAAAATTCAAAAGAAGTGCATGTTTAACAAATGATGCACTGATTTGCATGTTCATGAGGGAAATAAGTATTTGATCCCCTTCACAAAACATGACTTAGTACTTGGTGGCAAATCCCTTGTTGGTAATCACAGAGGTCAGACATTTCCTGTAGTTGGCCACCAGGTTTGCACACATCTCAGGAGGGATTTTGGCCCACTCTTCTTGGCAGATCCTCTCCAAGTCATTAAGGTTTGGTGGCTGACATTTGGCAACTTGAACTTTCAGCTCCCTCCACAGATTTTCATTTGGATTAAGGTCTGGAGACTGGCTAGGCTACTCCAGGACCTTAATGTGCTTCTTCTTGAGCCACTCCTTTGTTGCCTTGGCCGTGTGTTTTGGGTCATTGTCATGCTGGTACACCCATCCATGACCCATTTTCAATGCCCTGGCTGAGGGAATAAGGTTCTCACCCAAGATTTGACAGTACATTGCCCCGTCCATCGTCCCTTTGATGCGGTGCAGTTGTCCTGTCCCCTTAGCAGAAAAAAAAAACCCCAAAGCAGAATTTTCCACCAGTATGTTTGACAGTTGGGATGGTGTTCTTGGGGGACATAGGCAGCATTCCTCCTCCTCCAAACAGTTGAGTTGATGCCAAAGAGCTCGATTTTGGTCTCATCTGACCAAAACACTTTCAAACAGTCCTCCTCTGCATCATTCAGATGTTCACTGGCAAACTTCAGATGGGCCTGGACATGTGTTTTCTTGAGCAGAGGGACCTTGTGGGCACTGCAGGATTTCAATCCTTGTTGGCGTAGTGTGTTACCAATTGTTTTCTTGGTGACTGTGGCCTCAGCTGCCTGGAGATCATTGACAAGATCCTCATGTGTAGTTCTGGGATGATTCCTCACTGTTCTCATGATCATTGACACTCCATGAGGTGAGATCTTGCATGGAGCACGAGACTTAGGAAGAAGTTGTTTTGTGTTTTGTCCATTTGCGAATGATTGCACCAACTGTTGCCACCTTCTCACCAAGCTGCTTGGCGATAGTTTGGTAGCCTAGTCCAGCCTTGTGTAGGTCTACAATCTTGTCCCTGATATCCTTGGACAGCGTTTTGGTCTTTGCCATGGTAAAGAGTTTGGAATCTGATTGTTTGATTGCTCCTGTGGACAGGTGTCTTTTATACAAGTAACAAAATGAGATTAGCAGCACTCCCTTTACAAGACTGCTTTTAATCTCAACTCATTACCTGTATGAAAGACACCTGGTAGCCAGAAATCCTGCTGAATGATAGGGGATCAAGATCCCCTATTTCCTTCATGAACATGCAAATCAGTGCATAATTTGTTAGACATGCATTTCTTTTGAATTTTTCGTTGCTACTCTGTCTCTCAGTGTTACAATACACCTACCAATCGATTTTTAGACTGATCATTTCTTTATTAGTGGGCAAACATTCAAAATCAGCAGAGGATCAAATACTCCTCTCAATGTCACCGATATCTAATGCCCTGTCCAAGAATAATATAAAGCCCTTAAAGGAACTGCTGGCAGGTTCAGATCAAGTGCAGGGAAATTGGCTGGTGTATTTCTATAAGAACTTACTGAAGAAGGGCCCAATACACAGACCCTTTAAACCTTTTGAAAAATTATTTTTAGGGACGCATGCTCCACCCCGCCCAATTTCAATAATCTACTGTATGTTCTATTGCGGTCTTCCTCAACACTAAGAGTGTCATACTATATAGCTGAGTGGGAAAGGGAATTGGGGAGTATAATCCACAGGAAGACATCACAAAAGCATTTATGTGGACACAAGATGTCCATAGCTAGTAGAGTACAAGAAACAAAAACTTTAAATTAATATAGAGATGGTACCAATATCCAGTGAGGTTGCACAGAATATTTCCTCAAAAGTCAAATAATTGCTGGAGGTTGGGCAAACTATTCCATCTTTGATGGATATGCCCAACAATTGTATCTTTTTAGCTGTATTCGATGTATATGAATCTATAACGAATAAAGAAATTGTTTGTATGCTGCAGGTAGCATTGCAGTGCAGGGCTTTTTATGCTTTTGTATGATGGCCACAAGGGCTGTTATACCAAAATATTGGAGATCTTCTGAGACATTACATGATTCACTGGATAGTTTGCATTCAATTTCTGCATAGCAATTTCCTTAAAGGTGAAAATCAGTTGCCCTTTAGTCATGGTACTGTAAGTTCAACTTTACATTTCCAAGAATGTATTTTTATAATTACTCTGTTGCTAGGAGATAAGCATGAAACAGCTTGAATGTGGACCACCTAATGAGTTGAAACACTTGGATATGCTTATTTTTATAGTATAACTTACGTTAATAGAAAATTGAAAGATGCTATCATTTTTTTCTGCAGTTACTACAAAAGTGAAACATCCCCTAAGAGAAAAATTCAGAAATCAATTAAAACGATTTAAGATGTACCTTTTGTTTAAACAATAATTTAAAAATATAATACAGTAACTAGGCCAAGCATTCACTGCTGAAATTGATGAAGTAGGTGAAATAAAATACTGTCCCCTCTCGCCAGTTGTTCCCTACTTTGCTGCTTACTTGTGCAGTAATGACTGTGATAAATAGTCCTGTAGTGCATGTTCCTTTTAAAAAGCTGAATGGGCACCTGATTCTAGGCAAGCATTTCCTATAATGACCTCAGGTAACTTCTCAGATTACATTGGCAGCAGCAAAGAAAGCAATTTCAAGATGGTTCTGCTTTAGTCCTTTTTTATTTATCCACTATTACTTAATGCAGATTTATTCCTAAATTCTTGGTCATTAATTTGTGTGGTTGGAAATGGGAATGAAGAGCCTTGGGGGCTGCAGCATCAATCAACGACTGCTTTTTTGTGTACTGTACATTATGTAGCCAGATCCCCCCAAATGGTGACTTGTTGAAATCCTCACTAACTCTTTGTACACATATTTAGGCATACCTCCAAGATGTCCATATCTTCTAACAACAGAGAGTACAGGTTTTTCTAA